GCTGCGCGGCCAGGCCCAGCGCCGGCGTAGGAGGGAGCAGCTCCAGCCTGGGCAGCGGCAGCAGGAAGCGTCCTCTGCTCGCGCCCCTCTGCAACGGGCTTATCAACTCTTACGAGGACAAAAGCAACGACTTCGTATGGTGGGTCTGAGGAGCAGCCCCCTCGCTCAACTGTGCGTTCCCGCTGCTCGGTCTGGGGGGCTCCGGCGGGGGCGGCCTCTGGAGAGCCGGGACCCTGGTGCTGTGCAGGGTCTGGTTAGGGGCGGGGAAGCAGGGGTGAAAGTGAAGAGCGCTAAGTGCGGTGGGCAGGAAGTGCAGGGAGTTTAGGGAATGGGGAGGGCAAATAAATGATGGTGGAGAAAAGAAGAAATCTGGGCACGGAAATTGGGTTTTGAATTTTTTGGCTATTTGGCGGACTAAGCGCCTAGTCTGGGATACTTGTTCAATTACAAGTAGTGGGGTGGAATTGCTGGTCAAAATCTGCTTATTGTAAATATGGTAGATGATGCTCTAAACATGGGTAGGGATGTTTTAAGTAGTCTTTAAATACCCATTTTGGCTATGTGTAAATATGTCCTATTTTAAAAGGCACTTAATGTGTGGAGGATACCGTAGTCAGTCTGTTCAGGAAAGGTCCACTTTTCAACTGAATAACTTGAACGAGAGAGCCACATTTATTAAATATCTTTGTGTCACATGTATCTTTATTACAGCATGCTGTGTAACAGTATACTGAAACTTCTGGCCTGAGGGATGCTTAGGTAGAGACATTTTGTTGTCATGTTTAGCATCTTGAATGATACACAGTAATATTCAGTCATATTTGATGTAGTGGGGCTTACCACATTTAGTGAAAGATGGAGTGGACAGTCTTGGACAGAGTTTGAAATTCTCATTTTTTTTAGGTATTCTTTGTAGGATTATGAGAGAGTAATTGCTTTTTGCTGATTAAGAACTGGTAGGGCTTTGTGTCTTTTCTCTGGAGTAAGTTGTTGATTGACTTAGAATATTAATGACCTAGGAAGTTGACTTGCACAGTCATTACTGGGGAAGTCGATTCACTTCAGGGGTGAAGGGAGCCAGATTTGGTATTTTAACTATGATATGGAAATAGGAGATTTCTGCTTATTGCAGAAAAATAATGATGTTTTTATTCATATTTCTACTTTTAAATTAAATTATTCTGGATTCAGAATTCATTTTCATTGAAATTGGACTATAATTGTGATTGTTATGTATAAATAATTTAAAGTATATCTAAGAGATGTTTGCTTTTTTACCCAATTAATAGTGCCGCATGCTGAAATAGAAGCTAATAAAACAAATTGGGAGCTGTGGGATTTAGTTATTGTTTTTAGAACATTCACATTTCAATTTTCAGTTGACTAAAAGAAAGCGAACATGCCTGTATCCACATAGGTATCTAAAATAGTGTAGATGTGAAAAATGAGGAAATTAGTCATTCAGTCATTCACCAGATACTTATTTGACATTCTTCATCTGCCAGGCACCATCTTAGTTTCAGTGTACTACAGTTAAAGCTGTAAGGAATTAGAGAGGAATGTAAGAGCACCTGACATCCATCATTGATCTCCCCTCCCAGCTTCATGGCACACAGGTGTGCCAGCAGTCAGGAGTCTGAGGCAGAAGGACTACAAGTTCAAGGCCAACCTCAAGGGCTTGGTGAGATTATCTCAGAATAAAAGATAGAAAAAGGGCTGGAGATGTGGCTCAGTATCGCCCCTGGGTTCATCTCCCAGTATTGCAGAATGAATGAATGAATGAAACTGCAGAAGTTTTTCTGAAGTTGCTGTACCCCTTTGCATTTTCTACTAGCAATATTAAAAAAAAAATGTGATTGTTTTACATCCTTGCCCACATTTTGTGTTTTCAGCCTTTTAAATTTTAATCACTATGGTGGTTTTGTCATAATTTGCATTACCTTAATAACTAATGGTGTTGAGCATAAGTCTTTGCATATCTTTTATGAAGCATCTGTTCTAACTTCTTGCCCATTTTTCTCCTAAGTTGCTTGTCATTTTGACTTGTAAGGGTTCATTTTAGATTCTGGTTACATGTCTTGTCAGTCTTAGGTAGTGTGATAATTTTTTCCCAGTCTGTTGTTTACCTTTTCATTTTTTTCCTAGTTTTCTTCAGTGGCCAAAAAAAGTCTAGTTTATTGATTTTTTTTCTTTTATTGTTTGTGATTTTTTTTAAATGTCTAAGCTAAGAAATTGTTGTCTAGCATGAAGTCACAGAGATTTTCTTCTAGAAATTTTACGTTTCTTATGGCTGAGATCCACCTCCTTTCATTACCCGTGGAATCTGATTATCCTAGCACCAATTATTGAATAGACTATCTTTGTTCATTAAGGTTTCTTAGTACCTCTCTTCAAATTAGCTATTTATGTATGAATTTTATGGAATTTGTATTCTATTCTATTGATTTATATGTTTTTCTCTACACCATTTCTATACTGTTTTTATAACTGTATTAATCTTGAAATCAGTATGATTTTGTTCTTGTATTTCAAAATTGTTTTGGTTATTAAGGTTCTTTCCATTTCCACATACATTTAAAAATTATTTATGAGGGCTGAGGGCATAACTCAGTGATAGAGTGCTTCTTTAGCATGCACAGGGCCCTGCATGGGATCCCTAGAACCATAAAGAAAAAAAATTGCCTGCCTGCCTGTCTGTCTGTTTTCTCCCTCCCTTTCTCTATGTCTCCTCTTCTCCTTCCTTCCTTCCTTCCTTTTCTTTCTTTCCTGGGAGCATTGAACTCACGGATGGTTTATCACTGAGCTACATCCCCAGTACTTTTTATTTTGAGACAGGGTCCTGGCTGAATTGATGAGACTGGCCTGAAATTTGCTGTCCTCCTGCCTCAGCCTTGCAGAATTGCTGGAATTATAGGTGTGCGCCAGCATGCTCACTGCTTGTCATTTTGTATTAAAGAGGATGGAGGCTCTTAATTTGGGTTTCTTTCAGTCTATTACTCAATTTAGAAAAACTTGACATCTTAAAGGTATTGAATTGTTTGATTCATAAACATAGTGTGTTTCTTCAATTATTAGGTCTTCATTAATTTCTCTGAGCAACACCTTTTACTTTCAACTACCCAAGTTTTGCAAATTGAAATTAAAGAGGTCCTAAATATGATTGATAATCAGACATCCATGGGAGGGTGGAGGAAGCCTTCAGTCTTTACAACATACTGTGTGTGTGTGTGTGCACACACACAAACATATATATACCCATATATATGTGTATATATATAAAATATATGAAAGCTGGCTTGAAATGGGTTACAGACATAAGAGAACTAAATCTTGTAGAAGAAAATATTTTGTTAAATTTGTCACTAAGTATTTCATGCTTTTGATGCTGTTGTAAATGTTATTTTAATTTTGGTTTCTAATTGTTACAAGCATATAGCAATGCAGTTTATTTTTGTATATTGACCTTATTTATATCCTGTGAATTTAAAAATTCACTTGAATGGTTTTTTGGTAGAAGATGGGATTTTCTAAGATAGTGGGGTTAACTGCAAATATTTTTTTCCTTTCATTCCAATTTGTATGCATTATTTAAAATATATTATTGGAAAATAATAAAAGTTTATTTTTTCTTTGTGATAGTGATCTACGGTTTTCTTTTAATTTTTTCTAATTTTTTTTCTATTTTTGGTATATGGTATATTCATTTGCTAGGGCTTTCAGTGGTATAAACTTTACAAGTTCTTTTTCATGTAATTCTAGAACCTGGAAATATGATTTCAAAGTGTACACAGGTTTGATTTCTTTTGAGTCCTTTGTCCTTAGCTTGCAGATGGTTGAGATTTTTCTCTTTTTCTTTGGTCTTAGCAGTTTAAAAGCAAGGTATGTGTTAGGGAATCTTGTTTTTAAAAATCTTTTTTGTAATTTTCAGAGCTTACATTTGTGGTTTGATTTCTATTGTTATTTTAAAAGAGTTGAGCTATTACCTCTATACATAGTTCTTTAATCCATCCTCTTCTCCTATGACTTCAATTACATACTTGCTACATCATTTGATATTGACCCGTGGCTCTTGGATACTCTGTTCTTTTTTTTTTTTCATAGTGTTTTAATTTGAACCATTTCTTTTGACCTCTTTTCATATTTTTGCTTCTTTATTTGTGTTTTGATGAGCCCATCAAAAGAATGCTTTGTCACAGATCATGTGTTTTAAAAAGTTTTAGCAATTTCATTTTATTTTCCCTTTTAGTTTTCATGTCTTTGCTGAAATTCGTTTTTCATGCATATTGCCATTTTTTCTACTAGATCTACTCAAATTAATCATAGTTTTTGTCTCATAGGCTTACCATTGGAATTTTCTCTTGAAGCTTGTTGATTGCTTTGGCTTTTTGGATTTGTTTGTTTTTGGTTTTATGTATATTTCATACTGGAGATTGCATGTCCAGTAGTGTTGATGCCTGAAAATAATTACACCTCTCCTGTTAGGTTGAGTCAGCGTGGTCAGGAGTTGGGCTGAATTTGGATTTTGTTATTGCTGTGTAGTCACCTTTCATCTACCAAAGGCTTCGCATTTCACCAATGTTGTCTTGAGTGTGGGGTGAAGTTTGGGATGCCAGAAAGCTTTTCTTCACAGTTTTCAGCTTCACACCTACTTTTCAGAAGGGTTGTGTGCATGCTCTGTCCCCATCCCCTAGCAGACACTGTTGATATGTGTGGCTTTGTGGTAGACTGAGTTCACCTTATTGCTAGGCTTTATTAATTTATTGTGATGTATGTTTTAGTTTATTGATTTGAGAGACTTAGTATCCCCAGACCATTCCAGCACTATCAGATTCTTCAGTGATTATTATGTACTCAACCACAAATTATAACATTGTCTTAATTCAGTCGGCTTTAATAAAAATACCTTAGACTGGGTAAGTTGAACAAAAGAACATTTGTCTCTCACAGTTCTGGAGGCTGTGAAGCCTAAGATGAAAGCATTGGCAGATCCAGTGTCTGGTGAGGGCCCACTTTCTGTCTTGTAGATAGACACCTTGTTGCTATGTGGCTCCATTAGAGCAAACTCTAGATTTATGAGGATATAATCCCATCATGAGGGCTTTTCCACTCTCTCACCCTTATCTGAACCCAGTTGTCTCCAAAAGACTCTATCTCCTAATTCCATTACATTG